AACAACACCCGTTATAGATCTATAAAAGAATTTCCTTCAAATGCAATTTTTAACGTTAATTTGATTCATACATATGTAAGTGACGAAGGTGAGTGATTGAAACATGTGATTGAAAGTTGAAACTGAAATGTAGTTTGGAATATCATATTTTATGTTGTATTCTTTTCGTTTTCAGGGTTGTCTTACTATTTCTCCTTTTCCAAAAAAAAAAGCTTAACTTGACACCTAAAATGGGATATCTTTATCTTTAGGTTTGAGAGTTGCAGAAGGAAATTTTTGAGCTTGCATGTGACGAACAACACAACCATGATATTGTTTATTTTTTGCTGTTAGGTATGTTTTTTTTATTCAGATTTTATTTCTCAATTTTTTTATTTTTTTTAATTAAAATATGAGGTTGAGTTTTGGTTTTTTTTATTTGTTTAGTCTTGGTGAATACAAAGCTCACACATATATATTTACGATTGATTCTCCAAATAGATAGAAGCTTACTTCTTTTGCTTCCTCTTTCAATTTATTATTAATCTATTTAAATTTCAATTTCTCCCATCACATGTTTGATAAAAGAAGGCAGTATATTCTCATCAATTTTGTTGTTTATTTTGCTTACTATTATATTTATTTGTATCTAATTGAGATTTTTGTATTTATTTTCTTGATTTAATCGATTCTTCTTTTGGAATATGTATGGATATGGAGGCTGATAATTGATTTCACACTTGAATCAGCAGGGGACCAATCAACAAATTGAATAACGGATTGTTTCACAGTTTAATTTTTATACATTGATACGTAAAATGAAATTATGCTGATTGCGATTTGAGTTTGTCATGTGAAAACAGGTTTAATATAGTCACAATCTGTCAATTATCAAACTTTACCTCATGGTCGATTCAAGCATTTGTTTTCGAGGTTGAAGATAGAGAGAGAGGATTAGTGGTTCGGCTTATGGGGGTCAACAGGACATCTGTTGCACCAATGATCTTCCTAAACTCACTGTGTGCAATGATGGACAGGGCTGTCACCGGCCTTCTCCCATGAATTCAAATTGGCCTGAAGTTTATGGCGTGACTTTTTATCATGCCCAAGAAATAAACAGTTTGTTTTTAGTTTGAATGCTTTATAATATTATTGTTTGCAGAGTTGTCTTAGCATTTTAAGTGCCAATATTCACCATGGTCATGGCTGAGTGACCATTTGCTTCTCTAATTTCACAAACAAAAATATTGCTAAAGAAGAATTGGAGACTGCCACAACAGAACTAGAGACCACTATTTTAAATCTACTTAATCGATTCGATTTTCACATGTGATTCATCATCAAAGCCAAATGTAAACTTATATTTTCATTCAAGTTATTTGATAGTTAACCTTATAATAGTAAATATATGTTCAATATGGTGCAAATGATTTGATTTCCCGAGCATTTGATTTCCATCTACAGCCCTAATTGAAGATTAGGAAATTGAAACCATTGAATTTTATGCTATATACTAATGTAATATGTTTTTAAGGGTTCAAGAGTAGCGGGTGTTGCTGAAGTTTACTACCAATTTCAAAAGAACCATAAGCAAGGCAATAATTATCTAAGATTTATAAGATGATAAAACCAACGTTGATATGCGATCATTTTCTGGTTCTATAGAAAATGTTTTTAACAAGATTTGATTCAAATTATGTATATGTATATTATTATTGCTTTCATATTTTGTATGTCATATCAACATTGGTTTTGGCATAATATATTTTTCTACTGCAAATTATGTTGGCCTATGTTTTAATGGAATTTATTTTACACCAAATTCTAAGTTCTTTTGAATGTAGCATTGCCTCTAGCAAACAAACTACTCTAAGTTTTGTTTATTCTCCTAAAGAGAATATAATAACCTACAAGTTAGTGTTGATGTGCCTTCAAAATTCTAATTTATTTTGAATCGAAATTATAATTCTCATTTGTCGTGAAGTTTGAATAAATTTTTTATTTTGTATTGATATTTTTTTATTTTTAATTGCTATAATTTTAGAAACAAATATTACAATTTTTAATAAAATATTTACGATTTATTTTTTTAAAGTATGACTAATTAATATATTTTTATACAATATTAAAAACAAATATTACAATTTTTTAATCAAATATTGGAGTACCATTTAATTCGATACTTTACCAATATATCTTTTGAATGGAGACATTATTATCATTTATTTTTATTATACTTATATGGAAATTATTTTGAATGGTGACATAAATATATTTAATTTTTATATATGATTTGATTCCATAAAATATTATGATCAATAAAATTTGAATTCTCTTTTAATATTATAGGTTTGATACTCTTTCATATTGTAGGAATATTATATACATTAGAATATATAAAGATATGAAAAAAATTAAATCAAAACTTTACAAATATATCTTTTGAATGGAGGTATTAATATTATTTATTTTTATTATATATAGAAAATATTTTGAATGGTCACATTAATAAATTTTATTTTTATGCATGATTTGATTTCAAAAATTTATGATCAATAAATTTTGAATGGAATTATAATTTAACCAATAAAATTTTCGGTATAAAATTTTCTACCGACTTCTAAATATATTTGTGTATATTTTTTGAAAGGTTACATTTATATTCTTGAAAAAAATAACGTAGTTTAAAGGATGTATTGTTAACTATAAATATATTGTTAATAAAATTAACAAAAAAGTATATTATAAATATATAAAAGATAAAGTAAATAAGAACTCTAATGTTTATCTTAAATATTTAATTTATCATTCTATAAATGTAAGAATAAATATTATTTTGTAATTATTTAGATCCTTATTTGACCTAAAATAAATTATTTCAATTTCTATAAAAAGGTTAATAAAACAAAACAAAATCAATTGAGATTTGATAATTTTTTTAAGTTTATGAAATAACTAAAATATATCATAATCTTTTCAAATTAACTTTATAATTGTAATCATGATAAAAAAATATTAAATGGTAATCATGAAAATTTAATGATAAATGATAATCACAAAAATTTATGATAAAATAAAAAATTATTGATACAATCATTTTAATAAATTAAATAATTTATAATTAATTTTATAAAGGTGAATAAATTACAAATAATTTTATAAATGTAATAAATTAAACTATTTATAAAATTATTTATATCAATAATAGTAAATTACATATATTTTAATAATGGACACACGAATTCAACATGCTTATAAACCGGAAAAAAGTTACAATAATTTTATAAACAGGAATAAGTTAATATCATTTTATATAAATTAATGGTATAATATAATATATTAAATATTTATATAACACTTTATTAAATAAATTTATTTCATGAAATTAATTTTATATAATATCATTAATATTTAATTATTGAAAATTCGCAATAAACTGTAAAATATTTATTATAAATCGAATATAATAAAACATAAGAAATAAATACATAATTTTGAAATGTTATATATGATTCATTGTAATAATAAATATTAAATTATTATTTAATATTATAATAAATTTTCCGATATTCTTAGATTTAATTTATTCTTTTTCCCGTATATAATAATAATATTATATTATTATTTAATATTATAATTTTTGATTGACAATAATAAATTCATTTTAATTAGTTAGACATTAAGATAATAAATTTAATATATATCACTAATACACGATATTTATTTATAAATGTAATTAACTAAGAGACACATATTTATCACTGTTGAATAAATAAATTTAAGATGATATGGTAAATATTTATTTTTACAATTATTTTTATAAACTTAAATAACTTACAAATATTTTTATAAACGAACAAAATTCAAATATTGATGTAATTGTTTTTAACATGAATAACACTACCTTGGGCGCATATATGAAATACAGGCGTGATTTGTTGATAGGACCGACGCTTGCTACAAATATGGAGTTAAATGCCAACATGGTTTACATAAGACATATACTCAACTGAAAACATGGTAACATACTTAATAATTTAATAATCTATAAATGTAATGTGAATCCAGACGAGACCCGTGCGATAACACGAGTTTGTTACTAGTATATTCTTAAATATTCTAACAAACTAATAAACTAAACTATAAATTCCTTTTATAATAAAAGTATATTTAAGAATTAAAATATCAGTATTTAATAAAAAATTAAAATAGTTTCGCTAAAATATTAATAACTTAAATTAATAAATTTTAGAATCATTAATGCCTATAAACTTGAAAAAAAAACTTTAAAATTTCATTTTAATTTTCAAAATCATTTGTTCTTTAATTTAACTATTGAAGTGAAAATAATCAATTTATTGAGATGAAACGTTAACCTATAATAAATAATTGTTTTCCACACTCCATGAAATAAAAAATCCGTTAGTCATGTCATAACATATATCTTCCATTACAATAAACAAACAAAATATCATGAAAATATGAATGAAATTACTTGATTAACATAGTATGGTAAAGTATAATATGATTTAAAAAAAAATATCTAGAGAATATATGGTTTAAACCATTTTTTAGACTTGACATTGAATAAAAAATTTCTTAGATTTTATAAATTATAGATTAAACACTAAAAGAATAATTAAAATTTTATATTGATCTACTATTATATGTATTATGAATTTAATAATTAATCATAAATATTATTTATAAATAATTTAATATAATATATAAATTATAAATTATTAGAGATTTTAGTATTTTTAAAATTTTGTTTATGCCATAGATCTAGTTTGAGTAATGATCTTTTAACCTATAAGCTATGCAATCCCAATAAAAAAAAAGTGTATATATTAATGAATGAATGCTTCTTCACAATCCACAAATATTGTTATGATCATCACTATCACTCATGAGGGGAAGCTTTTTAGCTAATGCCCTTTATTTAACTGTGAATCCTTTTGTCTGCAAATCTTATTCTCATAAATGATTGGAAGGAAATTTACATCTACTACTACTAGGGCATGAAAACCTTCAACTTCCTCTTCTTCCACGCCATTTTTCTACCTCCAACAACATTGCCTTTAGGTCTGTTTTCTCTCTCTCTCAACCTGCTAGATTGTTTCTTTTCACTACCCTTTTTAATGGGTTGCGTTTTGTTTCTTATTTCAACCTGTTCCTATAACTGTGTTTTCCGTTTTCTCTTGCACACATACTGTTTGTTGTTTGTTCCGTTTTTTGTTACCCATTTTTTTAGACCACTTTTTGGGTCTCCTCTGTATGTGCACAAGGATTTCTAAATTTCCTAACCTTTTCTTATGGATTTGCTAAAAAATTGTTCTGATTTTTCAGTTGGTTGCTAATGAAGTGTTGCTATTTTTGACAGCTTTTTTATGTATAAACTCATATGAGGGACTGAATTGAATTTCTAGAGTTGGGTTGGTCTTTGCAATGGATGAACTTGCTAAATTATCTCTATGTCAAATAAATTTTGTATTTTTCCTGCCTTTTGATTTGGAACGGGCTTGGTTTTGCTTCTATGTGTTGTTTGTTGATATTATGCAGACACCCTTTTACTATTAGGTTTTATTTATGCAGATGAATTTTACTTTGGCTTGATTTTTTTTTTTTTGGATTGAAAAGTCAATTAAATTTGAGCATAACATGAAATTGTGTATTTTGATTTGCATAATTGGATCTGAGTTTTTGATTTGTAAGCTACACTAGTGTGATGTAGGAGAGCTGATCGATGAATCGGAATCATTTGGACTTGAGAGTTGTTTACCATTCTGGATCAACTCAATCGGAGGAGTCAGCGCTGGACCTGGAAAGAAACTACTATGGTCATCGTAATCCTTTGTCCAGCCCTATACAGTTGCAGACTTTTGCTGTTGGTGTTCAGCATTCTGAGAGCAATGCGGCTTACTTTTCTTGGCCCACCTTGAGTCGCTGGAATGACGCAGCAGAGGACAGGGCCAACTATTTTGGGAACCTTCAAAAGGGAGTGCTTCCTGAAACCTTGGGTCGGTTGCCGACAGGACAACAGGCTACTACCTTGCTTGAACTTATGACTATTAGGGCATTTCATAGTAAGATATTACGGCGATTCAGTCTTGGCACTGCAATTGGATTTCGAATTAGAGGAGGTGTTTTGACTGATATTCCAGCGATTCTTGTCTTTGTTGCACATAAAGTTCATAGGCAATGGCTCAACCATGTTCAGTGCCTACCTGCTGCCCTTGAGGTGGGGAATTTTGGTTCTTCTGGCTATGTTGCAGGTTTCTACATGGCTTTAGTGGATCTCATTACACTTTTCAATTCAATTATTATTTTTATAATACGCCACACACTTTTTCTTCTTTTTGTTTAGTAATTTAATTTGATTGATAGGTTTTATAGGTTGCTGGAAAACAAACAACTGCTTTATTAGTGATAACCTTAACTGATTATAAATTCCATTTATCTGTAAAAATAGCATCTCAAAGCCATATAGGAACTATATAGTCTGGTCTAATCTTTGATAACATTTAAATCATTTTTTAATTTTCTAAACAGGGGCCAGGAGGTGTTTGGTGCGACGTGGATGTTGTGGAGTTTTCCTATTATGGTGCACCTGCACAAACTCCTAAAGAACAATTATATACGGAGCTTGCTGATGGCTTAAGGGGAAGCGATTCATGTGTTGGATCTGGTTCTCAGGTTATTTTACTCATAGGAATCAACTTCTAATGCATGTTTTGGTAATAATTTTCCTCTTTTTTGTTCATAACTTTTTTAATTTCTTCTCCTTGAAGGTTGCAAGTCAAGAGACATATGGAACCTTAGGTGCTATTGTTAGAAGCCGAACAGGAAGTCGAGAAGTTGGTTTTCTTACAAATCGACATGTTGCTGTTGATTTGGACTATCCAAACCAGAAGATGTTTCATCCGTTGCCACCCAGTCTTGGACCCGGTGTATATCTTGGTGCAGTTGAGAGAGCCACATCGTTTATTACCGATGATCTTTGGTACGGCATTTTTGCTGGAACAAACCCAGGTAACTTGTTTTCAAATTGCATTTGTCATTAATATTTTTCCTGAGGGAATGCTCAGAATTCATATTTTTGATCCTAAAGACGCAGGCTTTGGGTTTAATAAGTATCGTTTTATGGTTAAAGTTCAAGATTTATCTATTTTTCTCTCTATTCATCTCCTCCTAAGCCCTCCCCTCTCTCCCCCCTCCAAACTCCCAAACAAAGCCTTAAGAAATAGAATCCTGCTGCAAATAAGAATAATATTGACTTTTTTCAAATCATTGAGATAGTGTTGTACTACTATTTTGCTCTTGAGGTGGATAAAATTTGCTCTGAATACTCCAAAAGTTTTGCTCGGCACTTCCTGTACAGCAAATACTACACTTGTTTGTTTCCTATGATAAATGGCGAATGTGACTATTCCAACATAGGCTTCTAAGTTCTAAATCTAATTCTTCTGCCCTGCTCTTTCCGAGTCTTGAAGATGTTACACTTAATAGCAATTTAAGTTCCTTATAGTGAGATAAAATAGTATGTTACTTTGATTTGAATAAGTATCTTTCATCAATGGCATGCAAAACTCTTTCTAATGTTTTCAAAATTTTGGAATCTTACAGAAACATTTGTGCGAGCTGATGGTGCATTCATCCCATTTGCAGAAGATTTTAATATGAACAACGTAATTACATCTATAAGAGGCGTGGGTGATATTGGTGAAGTCCACGTCATAGATTTGCAGTCTCCAATCAACAGTCTTATTGGTAGGCAAGTGATTAAAGTTGGAAGAAGTTCTGGTTTGACTACAGGAACTATAATGGCCTATGCCCTCGAGTATAATGATGAGAAAGGTATTTGTTTTCTCACTGATTTTCTTGTCGTCGGTGAGAACCAGCAGACATTTGACCTTGAAGGTGACAGTGGAAGCCTCATTCTATTAACTGGTCAGAATAGGGAGAAGCCACGCCCTGTTGGCATTATCTGGGGAGGGACAGCTAATCGGGGTCGTTTGAAACTAAGAGTTGGTCAACCCCCTGAGAATTGGACAAGTGGTGTTGACCTTGGCCGACTTCTTGATCTCCTTGAACTAGATCTCGTAACAACAAATGAAGCACTTCAAGGTTTGTTTCTGTACATTTAATTTCCAAACCGTTTAATTATTCACTAAACATCCACAACTGACATTCCCTTTCTTCGATTTTATTTTAGCTGCGGCGCACGAGCACAGGAACGGTTCTACTTCTGGAATTGGTAGTTCTAATGGAGAATCATCTCCCACCGTGCCAATAAAAGAAAGGATTGAAGAGAGCTTTGAGCCTTTTTGTTTGAATGTGCAACAAGTTCCGGTCGAAGGAGAACCATCTAAGACAGTCAAACCATCATTAAGACCCTGTGAATTTCATATCAGAAATGAGATTGAAACAGTTCCAAATGTAGAACACCAGTTCATACCGACAAATTATGCAGGAAAATCTCCAGTTCATAAAAGCTACCTAAAAGAAGACTTGGAATTCAAGAGTCTCTCTGAACTTAAGAATGAACCAGAAGAAGACAATTTTGTTTCCTTACATTTAGGAGAACCTGAAGCGAAGAGAAGAAAACATTCAAGTTCTTCCTTATGATTAAAGAATTAAAGCAGTAGGGGTTAAAGCCAAAGTAAAATGCAGCTTATACACTAAACGAAGCGATTCTCGTTTGCGTTGCTGTTCTCTCGCCGTATTAGAAAAGCAAAGGCCTTTAATATGCGGTGCTTCAAAAGCAAAATTAATAAACAAGGTTCTCTCTGCATTAAATTCTTTTTCTATTTATTTTCATGTTTTGATAAGGTGATGATATTAGTCCCTTGCGCGACGTAATATTTTAAAGAGGCCATTTAACTGTGTTATAAGCACTTGTAGACTTTGTATCATAAGCACTCTTGAGAGGGCAACGTCTATTGTAATTTATAGGAATGTAAAATATGTTTGTTGAGCTTCAAATTTTTGCCAAGAAGATTTTAAGCCTTGACTTTTTTGCTCAAGTTTCCAGTTTTAATCTTCCTTAGTTTGAACTTTTATATTTTTACAGGAGTGATGATAATTTTGTGTTCAAGGCAATTTCTAGCTTTTAGATATGAAGTAATTTGGATTGCTGACATAATTATTTCTGTTGTCTCTGCGATCTTTGTTGCGGTTGAATAATGTGTATATATAACTGTAATATTATCAATAAACACCATCATTTATTTCTTCCTGCAACCATATCATGTTCTAGTTAATCAGTCATTTTTATCTCATTTCAACCTTATTCTATCATTTCATTCTCTCTCTAACCTTCAAATCCTCTCCAAGTTTTCATCATTCACCATCAATCATCAATTCAAAAATGGAAAACAACAAGAAGAAATAGAGATCAAGCAAGGCAAATGTCCCTGAACAATCATGCTGATAATGGTTTCGGTTTCCGCTCTACTTCTACTCCTTATGGTTCAGATTTCTCAGTCATCTTGCACAATGTGAATAACCTGATTTTTGAAGACGAGTACAAAAGATATTATGATGTGTTCATGGAAAAAGTTGTCGATCAAGAGTAGTATGTGACAAAGGAAATCAAAAAAGTTTGAAGATGAAGTTTATATATGCTTTTGAGAAGCACAACCTACATACATGCTTTTTACTGTAATATGAAAAGTGTCACCAATGGTTTAAAATTCCAGTTTAAAGACAAACTTGTGAAATTCCACTATTCTAACTTTCTAGAAGTTCTCAATTTGAAGAAATCACAAGCCACCTCTTCATATGACAACTTCATGCAAACTGGAACAAACATATCACACTTCTCATATATACATTGCATAGCTGACTTGCTTCAAGAGTTTCTCTCTTCACTTTCACAACAACAACACTCTAAACTGAAATATCATTGAATGTTTTTGTATGGTTGCTTTTCTACATTCACCACAGACAGTGATCATTCAATGTGATAAATGAAATTGGTTTGATTGAATCAACATGACTCTTGATAAAGATGGTTTACCTGTGATGGAGATGGGAAACATGTGCTGCATTAGAATCATTGGCTCTAAACTTTCCAACTCAGTGTATATAGGCATTAGAAATGAGATATGGTATAGTCCCACATTATTTTTGTTAGACTTACATTTAATGTTTATAAAGTTTACCATATATGTTGACTACTTGTGGACTGAAGAGAAACTACAAACAATTGGGCCTTAAAGCACATATAAATATCTGTTAAAACTTGTATTAATTAATTTTTTTTAAAACATAAATTAAAAGAAATATTAATAAATAATCATTAATTAAAAGACATAATTAATTTAATTAAAAAATATTAATAAATAAATTATCCTAGTCATCCATATTATTATTAAAAATAATTTTTTTATCTTAATCATCACTGTCACGTATGCAAAAGTAGAAGGAAACTACGATATCAAAAAGAAAAAATTTGCAGCATCAACTACGGCAATATGGCTCAGTCCAAAAAAAAGCGAATATGGTTGACATTTATTTATTTGCACATGTTATTATATATATTTAAGCGAATATAGTTGATATTTAAGCGAATATGGTTGACATTTATTTATTTGTTTATGTTATTATATATATTTATGCTATGTGGGACAAGATATTTTTTGACCTTATAGCATTTAAGCTCATAAAATAATAAAAGGCTTGTTTGGTAACAGTCTTTTTATTACGAGTATATAATTTGTTTTACTAGTTTATAGCTAATTTTCCAGATGTTATTTCAAATAGCATTTTAATTTACCGCTTATCATTTTTCTTCCATTTTCCCTTTATTATTTTAACTAAAAACCACTAATATCCTTTATAATTTATTTTAATTTAAAATAAAACAATTATATATTAAATGTAATTTATGTCATTTTAATTTATCAACTACTTGGACTGCTAATTTTTACCAAACACTCCAATTAACTTATCAGCTATAAGTCATTAGTCATAAGATATAAGCTATAAGCTATCAACCATCAGTAATAAGCTATAAGCTTATAAGTTAGCTTATCAACCAACTGCTATTTTTATCAAATAAAACCTTAATATTCTTTGTCTCATAATAAGTGTCTTATATGAACTACATGGGATTCTTAAGAAAATTTTTGGATATTGATTTTAATGATATAATTAGTTTTATTTACTAAAACATCCTTCTTAATTATAATTAATGGAGTAATTGAATAGAGTAAAAGTTAATAAGGGTATTGTAATGGAAAAAGTAATAAATATTATATTGGTATTTTATAGAGACAATTACTTTGAAACAAATAAATAGTACTGTTTTGGTCTGGCCCAATATCTAGATTTGTCCCAATCCACTTATGCATACAATATGGTCCAACATCTTTGACCCAATAACTCTGACCCAGGCAACTAGGATAGGAAGGGGACACCTTACCTTCTGTCCCTCAACCGGGGATGCTTGATCGACTGTGTCCCCAGTGACAGCAAGACCTACAGTGCCCCGAACCATGCGCCTGCCTGCACCAACAACTATTTCCTAGTTTGCTTGACACCCGTGGAACATGCAACCAGAAACGACTTTGACCGTGATTTCCCGTAGCCGCACCTTTGCTCGGAGCAACGACTAGTTACGAGCATGTCTGCCCATCGCAACGACTAGTCTATGGAAGTTACCTATTCTCGCGGACCTGAATCTAAGTCTAAAAATAGGGACCAATGGCCAAGTGCTGAGGGAATTATATAAACCCTCACATTTGTGAGGGCCAGGTATCCAATATTCCCACTAGAAAACCCTAATCTCTTTCTTGTATCTCTTTACACTCTTTCTTATTTGATCGTCGGAGTTCCTCGCAGGTACACCCCCTCCTCCTCATCTTGCCAGCCTAGTAGCCGAAATTATCGGTCTATTACAGGTTCTAATGAACCGGTAAGATCAGTGGTGCCGTTTGTGGGAAATTGTCTTCCCCGTCTTCCTTTCTCTAGAAACCGAAGATAAAAGTAACATCACCAGATTCCGATCATGGCTGATCACGAGGACAACCGTCTCACTGGAAAAAACGTCCTTTCCCCATTCGTAAAGCTGACAATGACGATGAATGCACACTCCTCAAGGACATCCTCGTTAAACGAGACAGATGCATGACGTCTCCCTCCTCCGTCAAGGATGACAATGACATCCATTTCTTAGAAGCTGGAAATTCCAAGAAACCCTAAGAACAAGCATTAACTTCTCCTTAACCAATTCCAGTGTCGACCAACGTCGATCCTTCCATCGCAGCCCTGCTCGCTGCCCTAAATCAAACGAATGACCTGATTCTTCATTAGAATAACATGATCGAGGCCTTAAAGAAGAAACCTTTAATATCTCCTTCCTGGAGATACTGATGATGCATCTCGTGTAGTCCTTCACCGTAGCCTCGTGGCTTTCAGCCAGCGCGAGGAAAACCAGAGATTGCACTCGATAGAAAACACAATCACTCACCTTCTCGAAGAGACCACCGCTCTCCAAAGAAGACACAGGGTGAGCCACAATCAAACGACCACCATTCGCCTCCACCGAGGTCCAAGATTAATCCGAGGAGTCCATCTCTCAAGTGAGTTGATAATCCACGTCGAGGAAGAAATTACTCTCCTCCTCGATCCAAGAGATGGAGCGACGATGACGGTCCCCATGGTCCGTAGTCGCGAGAAATCATAGAGACACCACTCCCAGCCGGGATGGCAAAACCTCCCCGTCTGGGGATGTACGATGGGACCACTGACCCGGACGACCATCTCGAAAACATCGACACTCTGCTCGATTATCGAAATGTCAAAGGCGTAAATAAAGTGAAGATTTTTCCTCACCAACTAAAAAAAGAAGCTATGGCGAGGTATAAGAGTCTGCTCGACAAATCCATCACATCCTGGCGGAACCTCAGAAAGCAGTTCTCTAGGCGTTTCACAGCTTCTCATCAGCACCCGAAGTTTGAAGCATCGCTCGAGGCGATCATCCAGGGAAAGGATGAGTCCCTTCAGGCATATATCGAGAGGTTCAACAACGAGGCCGTTCAAGTCTCCACCACTGATGGCATAAAGAAATACCTGCTCAAGCGCGGACTGCGCCCGCGCAGTGACTTTGCCAAAGCTTTTGCTATTGAAACCCCCTCCTCACTGGATGCCTTCCTCCTCAAAGCACAAGCGTACATCAAGTATGAAAAGAAGGAAGCTGCTAACTCTTCCCAGGACTCTAGGCACCAGAAAAATGCCAAGGGTTCAAAGTATGACGACCCCTCAACACTCGCCGGGGAGGATAGAAGAGAAAAGAGGATAAAGCCCGCGACACACGGGGCTACAAGGGACCTCCTTGTCATTTTCATGATTTCACACATTTTACCACCTCTCGCAAGCACATCCTGACCGACTACGCCAACTCAGAGTTCCGTCAGAGAAGAGTTCGCTTTCCTTGACAAACACCGTCCAAGCCCGGGACAGACAAATCCAAATATCACAGATTCCACAAGAGCCACAAGCATACAACAAAATATTATATCCACTTAAAAGACGCCATTGAGATCCTCATCAGAGATGGGCATCTCAAACAATACAAGAAGAAGGATGGTCCCTCTGAGGACGCACCTGAGTCAAAGAAGATCTAGGAAGACAAGCCTGCTCTAGATAATATCAACATGTTTGTTTCCATATGCATTTTGCGACTCGAGGACTTCAATATCCCAGACGAAGCCGAGGTCCCCCTGTACTTTGCGACGCACAGCCCCTGGGAGACATTCCCTTCTGCCATGGTCATCTCCAGTAGAGGCTTCAACAAATTTATAGTGGGCTCAGTAAAGAGAAGGTTCGAGCGACTGATTGAAGCAAGCTCTAACCAAAACTCCACCCTCGACAAATTTCGGGGAAGCTTCATCCCAATTTCCTTCTATCGCGAGGAACTGCTCGGAGTGGCTCCAAATTCAAGCATCCCTCTACTCGTTCAGGCGCAAATGGAAAACTTTGATGTCAGGCGGATCCTTGTCGACCAGGGAAGCTTGGTGGGTATCATGTATTCCCAACTATTCCTACTCTACAGCTCAGCGAAACGCACTTGACGCCTTACGCGGGCTTCGACCTCCAAGGGTTCAGCAACGCGGTCACCAAGCCATGGGGTTTTATCGAGTTGATCGTCACTTTCGGGGCAGTCGAAACGGCCAGGTCCATCAAGACCCAGTGCCTAGTGGTGGACTGCCCCTCGTTATACCAGTGCATCTTTGGAAGGCCAACTCTGGCCGAACTCATAGTTGTACCTTCAATGATACACCTGAAAATGAAGTACTACACTTCAGAAGGGCTGGTCGCCACCCTCCATGGAGATATCGATGCAGCGAAAAGGTGCTTCGAGGCATCTTCAAAGGGGAAGAACATGATCAAATTAGCGCCCAAGGCATCCAGCAGACCTCCCCGACCAAATAGTTCTGAGGAGTCAATGCCACTACAGCTTGTCGATACAATTGACCTTGTTGTACCCCAATTTTTACCCCTATGATCCCTTCATCATATCATATCAATTAAATCACAACAAGATCACATTAGGGTTTGGTTCTCCTCCCTA